CCAAAGAGAGTGCTAGGCCCGGGGGTGCATATGATATAATATTGAATATAGTATATATATATATATATATAGTTCATATTTAGTATAAAATATATGTATGTGTAGAATATATACATAGTATACTATACTACACCCCCAAGAGGCTCACCAGACGCATGTCGGCCTCCCTTCGGTTGGGAAGACGCCGGAGCTCTGCTCGCTCTGGGCTGCCGCCGAAGGAGGAGGTCAGGAATTGGGGGTTTGGGGTTTAGGGGTCAGGGGTTTAGGGGTTTAGGGTTTAGGGTTTAGGGGTTTAGGGGTTTAGGGTTTAGGGGTTTAGGGGTTTAGGGTTTAGGGTTTAGGGGGTGTATCTATCCGCTTTCTTAGGGTGTTATATGCAATTAGGGCAGGTAGCTTAAGTTTGAAGGCTTCAAGGTTTGGGAATTAGGGTTTAGATTTGCGGGTTCTGATATAGCTTATGACCTTGGGGTTTTGAAAGGCTTTCTGGTCTGCTGGTATCTGGCAGCTGCACCTAGATTTGGGGTACCCGTCAAGAAGTATCCGTGTCTGTCAACTCTACTGCGCTCCGCAAGCAGACGCACAAACGAAAATGGATGTCCGTAACGACTTAATCGCATGAAAGCGGCTGTGTAAGTACGCCGGACTAGGAATGCACAGGTATGCCTAGTCCACGCTTCAGCATACTCCCGAGACTTGAGGAGTTACATCTTTCTGTTTAGAAATACTTGTTCAGTCTTTCGATACTTCGCTGCCGTCCCGTGCTAACTTCGATGATGGCACATTTTTGGGAGAGTTCCTCTTCTGCCGAGGCAAGGGCGCCGACTCCTTTGGAAAAGATGACTCTGCAGAAGATTTCGCATCTTCAGGATATTCCTTGGCAGGTGGGGCTTACGAAGATGCACGAAGACTCTAAGACCCGTTTCAGCGAAGCATTGCACCCAGGTGAGCAAGCAAGCCTTCAACTGGTTCTATCAGTTTGCCGACACTGGCACATGGGATCGCGAAGAGCTGGGGCTGTCGGAGGCTCCTGCACGACGATTTGCAGATAGACTGCTGCTTCCATCCACCTTAGTCTTGAAACGGACATGCATGTATGCACGTCCCGGAAACACACGTTGCCAGGAGGCCGTTCTTGACGGCATCCCGTTTGAGCTGCCCAGCTTGGGCAGCATGTCCCGGAACGCGCTGTTCCAGACCTGCTGCGCCATAAGCGATGTGGACGAGCCTGCGCAGCTGGACATGGAGTTCGTCGGAGGTGCACTCAAAGCCGTCGATGCGAAGCTCGGCTTTTCCAGCTAACCTTAAGTACAGGAAAAGACAGCGAGTGTTTGGCACAAACTTGCCTGCTACAGCTTCCACGAGTTCTGTTGCTGCATCCAATCCTGCCCTAAAATAACTTATTGAACTCTTGGTGATCCCCATAGCACGCAAAGCCGTGCGACAGCGATCTGAAGCTTCGAGATCCTGTCCACGATAAGGCGGAACCTCGAACATGTTTCGACCTGTGGCTTAGCGCCAGGTAACCTAAAACATTCAGGGTAGTACCCTCTCCGCTCGATCCAGCTTCATAAGGATAGCAAATGCGATGCTGACCGCCCCGCGAAAAAGCTGTGGGCACAAGAATCCCAGACTTGCCATCCATGGCCTTCTTCACACACATATGACCAAAGAATTGGGACGGGCTTTCCAGCTGTGTCCTGAGAGAAAATGGGAGAGAAGCCCAGAACTCAAGTTCCGGTCAGAGAGGCCTACCCGACAAAGATTGGAGACGCACGTGGACTCATGTGGGGGAAGCCAACCCAAACCGGAACAGTGGTTGTTGACGTTTCGGAACCACCAACCGTTCGAGGATCCTTCGTTCGATCGTGGAACCTCCATCAGCGTAGCATTCTCAATTCGTGGCAGCTGCGACTCTTGAATATCTCGCCGTTTGTCGGTTTTCCCGCAAGCTTGAAAACTCGGGGCTGGGCTAGTGGAAATCTGACTTATCCCTGAACAAAGCCCTGAACAAACGTCCCATTTCTCCAACGAAATGCTCTACGAGGGATCCTTCAGCTTCGATTTTCCAAGCCAAGCAGAGCTCCGGAGTTCACCTAAGAACCCTTGCAATTCTTATGGAGTCCTTATGTACGATCCACCTCTTTAGATTATCTTTACAGTAACGTGGCTTCCCAAGGAACCAGAACGATGCACTGGACCTGGTCGAGTTCCTGGACTTCTACCATCGCTACTGCTTCTCTGAGGAGGTCGGGGATTGTCCGTTTTTCTTTTGAGCTCCGTGGGTAGGTTTGGGTTTGGGTCTGGTGCAGAACAAGATCATGGGATGATGTGGCGGATGTTTGTTGAGGCTGTTAGAGTCTTCTGCGTTGGGGCTCGCGCAGGTGCTCCTCAGCCGTCAAGAGCGGGAATTGAGACAGCTGGCGCGGAAGTATGGCTTCAGCTTCGTCGAAACTACTACGCACGCAGCGGCGAATGTAGCGCAAGATCAAGCGTCCTGAAAGTGTAAGCCCTGCAGAAGTTCAACTCAGAATTCTCAGCGGCTGTAAGTGGGTGGTTAATGCACCCCGTCTGGGTTGCAGACAGAGAGAAGGAGAGAGAGGGAGAGAGAGAGAGAGCCCAGGAACTCGACCAGCTCAAGAAGAAGTTCGACCAGGAGTGAGTTTTGGGATTCAGCATTTAGGCGTTCCTGTGACGAACTCATAACACATAAGATATCATCTGAGAATGCCTTTGATTTGGTCTTTCCAGGGGCGATGTTGGCAAAGGTCGGACACCACAGGGTGTCATAGTCAGACGAGGAAGACTTGCAGTGATGTTGCAGTTGCGTTCCTGCCCTGCCTAAGAGCTTTATGTATGTGCACTCTAACCCCGTTCCTCTAAGAAGAATCTCGATTGACTCGTGCGGCTGCACAATGCCATCATCGCATTCACTCGTCGGGCATCCCCGGCAGCAAAGCAACAGTGTCACATTCCCGGCCCTGATCCCTAAATCCGAAACGCTAAACCGTAAAGCCTCCCTTGTCTTCTCTGCGGAAGGCCGACCGCAACCAAAGCGGCAAGCTGGGCTACGAGGAGTTCCTCTCCCTCATGGCAATGCTCACAAATCTTCCGCCACCTGGGTGATGTTGCGAAGTCTTTGGCACTTCTGGAACCACAATTCTCGCATACATCCGCATAAACTAGGACTTGAATTCTGAAGCTGTACCAATCGCGAACGAAGAGGCAGGCAACCCAAACCACCAGAGAGAGCACCATAGACCATATTTCCCTAAAGAAAGCAGCTGACTCCCAGTTCAAAGCCTGCAGTGTCGGATTCGTAGTACTTTAGTAGGAGGGTTTAGGGTTTTGGGGTTTGGGCCTCCCCCAACGGTCTAGACTCTGAAGCCTGCGAACGGCAAGGCCGGGGCAGGAGTTGCCAGAGAAGAAGAAGAAGGAGCCCAGACGGAAGGGTTTGGTTTAGGGTGTCATGAGAGGAGTCATGTTAAATTTTCGGAGGGTGCGCTAAGGGCTTTGAAGAGGAGGTTTTGTGCAGGGCCCTTCAAAGGCGGACCGGACAAGGCTTTGGGATCTCGGATTCGGACGGACTTCGCGTCCGGTCAGAGTTCTTCTTCCGCCGGGGTTTGGGAAAATGGAAATGTGCCGCATCGGAGACGTTTGCTTCGGGCGGGGCGGCAAACTCCAAACCACTGGTAAGCAAGCGAAGTCCAGTGCAGGAGTGGTGGATTGCCGCGAAGCAAGGCTGGCGAAGGCACTTGGACTTGGATGCATTCTTGTCCTTCTACGTGTCCATCGGCAACTGAGGCTACCAGCCAGAGAAAAAGGGTAGGCTTGGAATCATGCTTTCGGGTTGAGCTCCTAGCAGAATGGCTTTCGAGCTCCTTTCAAATACCGCCGGAAAGCACCCTCAAAGGGTTGCGACCGTTTGAAAGCTTTATCTGGAACATGCACGCATGTTGCTCTAATGCAAGTACCAAAGGCCATGTCGGTTTTGGATGAGTGCTTGACCCCCAAGCAGTTTGGCGCATTCATGCTTGTTGCACTGAACCTGCGTGGTGTCATGACATTGCCTGAGCAGCGTACGCTCACTCGCCGCTTTTCTCTTATTTCGTATATATTGGTTTTCAAACTTGCAGAAACCACGGCACCCAAAAGCCGTACTAGTTTCGAAAATGAGGTGAATATCATGCACATACAAATTATGAAATTTGATATTTGATACGAATGACAATGCTATGCAATTTTTAGGACCTTGTTTATTGAATGTAAACTATTTACGTCACTGTAAAATGGTTTTGATTAGCTATGACTTCTTTAAAAATATTAAATATAAGATTAGCATAATTCACGGCTGGTTCTATTTTATTAAGTTTTCTGATGCATGGAATTGAAAAAATATCGGTTCTAATATTATCTAGATTTCTTGAATTAATAATTATTCAAGCAGAATCTAATTCATTCGATAAATTCTATGCTAGAACAATATGTCATTAATTGAGAAGATACGATACTATATTATATTAAGCTTAATTCTTTTAGGGTTGCAATGATATAAAATTTAAAAATTATCGTTATATTCTTATTATAATCTTCATATATTTTAAAATAATAAATATTACTTATAAATTAAGTTATTCAAAATAAATAAATATATTAACTATTCTAAAGAAATTTCATAATTATTATTACTATATTTTTCAAGATTAGGAGATATATGATTTTATAATATATCTATTAATGAAAGAAATAATATAATTCTAAATATAATATGTGATATAAAAAATATATTATTAATGATATTTAGGATTAATTAATAAGGATGAGAAATTTTTCGATGAATTATTAGATTAT